GATGCACACCAGGAGCCCACGAGCCTCATTGCGGTGGACTTGCAGACTCGCATGGTGCTCTCTGTGCCGGGTCCCGACAAAGGGCCTGGCATGCTGCGCCAAGCGGCCGAAGAGCTCACTAGGTTTACGGTGAGCCTGCATGGAGAGGAGACCATCACCATGCAGTCGGACGGCGAGCCGGCAGTGAAGGCGCTGGTTCGCAGCACGGCCGCGGCTAGGCAGAGACTTGGACGGCGCACCCACCAGCGCACCACTCCAGTGGGTGTGCATGAGGCCAATGGAGCCGCCGAGAGAGCAATCCAGACGGTCAGGCGGCTTGGGAACACCTTTGTGGAAGCATTTGAGGTCAAGCGTGGCAAGCTCAGTGTGGGCAGCCATCTTCGAGTTTGGGTGCAAGGCCACGCGGCATTTATATACAACCGTTTCCACCTGCTCCCTGGCCTCAACAAGACGCCTTTCGAACTGGCGTATGGTGGCAAGGTGTTCGACCAGAAGCTTTGCGAGTTTGGCGAAGTCGTCTATGGCAGGGTCATTCGCAAATATAAGGGCGAGGCGCAATGGCTCAAAGGAGTTTGGTGCGGCATCAACCCGCACAACGGAGCGCACCGCCTCATGAGCACCTTTGGCCACTTGGAGTGCAATGCGGTGAGGCGAGGCACGGCGGAGATCCAGATGACGGCCGCCGAGATAGAGTCAGCTATGTTTGGGTTGCCGTGGGAGCACGGCGTGGTGGAGAAGCGACGCCAGGCCAGACGGAGAGCCCAGCCGCAGGCGGTTGGAGTGCCTGTTCTTTCTGATCCTAGTTCTTTGCTTGCACCGCCTACCCCAGCTACACCAAGGGCCGCGTCGACGGGAATTCCCGCTACTCCTGCGCTCTCTCTCGGAGCGCCCGCCACGCCAGCTGGCCAAGGAGCACAAGCTAGCGCTGGTTATCAAGAAGGGCCAGGTGACGAGGCAGCCAGCGACCCCACGAGCAGCAGCAGTTCCGAGGATGAGCTTCTAGCGGCCGCGGATGCAAGCCCCACGGGCATGAAGCGCAAAGCCGAGGACAGCACCGCGCCCGCCACAGCAGCAAGGCCGAAGAGCGAGCCAACCAAAGGCGAGAAGCGGAAGCCAGATGACAGCCCAAGGGCCAGTGGAGGAGACGATGGGCCCACCATTAGGGCCATCGAGACGGTCGATGCTGAATGGCACGACGCCGTGGACTATGACTCCGTTATGGTCTCGGAGGTCGACCGGGACTTTGAGGACCCCGAGCCGGACGACCTTCCCCCCAGTCTTCCGCAGGAGACCGTCGATGAGCTGGACGAGGCCGCCGAGATTGAGGAGATCGAGCGCCTTGAGAAGATGGGCGTTCTGCTTCCGGACGAGGGCGAGGAAGCAGAGCATCTTTCCACCACCTTTGCTAAGGTTTGGAAGAAGGGCGAACAGGGATGGTTCAGAAGGGCCCGGCTTGTCGCTAGGCAATACAAGTGGGCCACCCAAATGGATGATGATGAGACGTTCGCCCCGGCTTCTGTGGCCCCCCTGGGCCGGCTCATCCCCATGATGGCGATGAGCCGGGGTACTCCAGTGTATGTTCTTGACGTGAAAGATGCATATTTGACGGTGGACCAACCACCCGAGGAGCCTGTGACGATCACCTCGCCAGCCTCGTGGTACAAGAGACATGGGGAGCACAAGCGGTGGAAGCTGGGAAAGGTGCTCCCAGGTCAAAGGCGAGGAGCCCAAGAGTGGTTCATGAAGTTCAACCGCGACCTCGTTGCCAACAAGCTGGAGTCCATGGTGGAGGTGCCCACTCTTTATCGGTCTTTGGAGGACCGGTTCGGGGCCCAGCTGCACGTGGATGATATGTTGTCCACAGGCGACGACTCCGTAGTTGCCCCGCTGCACAATGACCTCGAGAGCAAGTACACAGTCAAGATCGCGGGCCCCTACGGTGAGCCTGGAGATGAGTTTGAGTTCCTCAAGAGGCGCTACTTGGTCGAGGCCGACAGGAGCATCACGGTGCGGCCGGCCACGCGCTTCTACTATGACATTTGGGAGCTCACCGGCAAGCC